TGCAAGTGCTTCAATTAATAGTGCAAAAAAGGTAAGATTATAAACTTGTATATTATAATACAAATGAATATTAAATATAATCATTGATAAAATGAAAACAATTTTTTTTTTTTGCAGATTATAAAAGAATTAGATATGCTAACATCAATAACTTTAGAAGTTCCTCGACAGCGAGATCAAAGTAAACCAATAAGACCGTATGAACGAGAATGTATAATACATAAAAATCTATTTTCTATTAAGCCAGGATGTTTGCGAGAAAATGTTCTTGTACTATCCAGCGATAACGAAGTAGTATTATTCAAAACAAGAGCTAGTTATTGGGATGCATTACATCACAGAATAGAACAATTATTTTCACAGGCAGGTGGTGGCATAGCAAATATTTGTAATATGCAAACTAGTCTATTGGATAATGTTACTCAAGGATTGAAACTGTTGGAATCTTTACTTGCTAAAGATATAGATATACCACAAAATATGGTTATACCAACAGAATTATGTTTCGAAATTATTAACAGATTTTCTTATCCAGTTCTACCTCTAAACATATATCGAATTGTTACCGTATGCATAAGTATCTCGTCTAAGCTGGTATTAAGATATCCTGAAGATATTCTATCTCGAATGCATGCAGGAGTTTATCCAAAATTTAACGATTGGTATCAAAATCCTTCAGACTTTGCTGAAGCAATTTCTTTCGATGGTGGTTTTATTGCATCTTGGCTATCCGGTATAGAAACCATAGAACATTCTTATCCAATTCTCTGTGCATATCTTGATACCTTATCTAGTTATATAATAACAAAACACAATAAGGAAGCTATGTATATGATCGAAATACCAGGGATAGTATTTCTTTTACAAGGTGTCTTACCAAAACTGGATTCATGGTATTTTAAAAATGATGCTGAAAGATTGGATATTTGTTTAAAGAGTATGTTTTGTCTTCACCGTGTACTTGATTCGAATTTATCCGATGACGATATAAGAAAAAAATTACAATTAACTGTGACATATAGTCTTCTCTATTTAGAGCCTAGACATGCACTTTTGAAATTAGTGCGTACGGGAGAGCGCAACCTGCATAATAAAATGATCACGGAAACAGATTGGATAAGCGGTAAAGGATTCAAAGCCATAAAAAGTGTACAATTGGCATTATCGATAGTAAATCGATTATTGATGTTTAGACAATCTTTTGGCTTAGAACACAATGACAGATCTCCGTTGGAGATTGCTTTATATTCTTCACCACGAGTACCAAATAGTCTTTTGATAGTACCAACTATTGTTAATTATTTATACGTGTGGTTTAGTCCTTCGTTGCAAGCAATGGCTGTAAGACTTTTAACGAAATTTGCAGAAGGATTTTCTATGTCACTGCTAGTTTGTATGGGCATGGATGGTACAGCAATAAGAGAAACTTTTGCTTCTCGATTAATGTCACCAACTTGTGCGGTAGAAGTCAAAGTTGCCATTCTCGAATTGGTTGCTGTTTGTTTGGAAAAACAACCTGGCTTGACTGAAGCTCTATTTAACATAATGCATCAAGCAGAACGTAAAAGAATATTTCCACGACCAGTCGACGAATTTCTCACAGAGGGTTGCAGTCAATTTCTGGATCTTTATTTACGTCGAATATATAAAGAAGAGGATATTGTTTACGACAGACTATACGAAAGTACGATGATTCTGTTACGTGCAATGTGGTATCATCGCAACGAAATTCTTGTCAATTTCTTCCGTAAACGAGAAGAATTTTGGAGCCATCTGTTTGCTCCCCTTTTTAGAGAAATAGTACCAGTAGCTAAAGGCTACTCACAACTTTTAGATATTATTACATTAGAATTGTTCAAGAGCCCATTATTGGAAAATAATTTTTCTATGAATTTAAAAATGTTATTGGATAAAACTAAGGACCACTGGCAAAGATTATCGAATTATGTCTTGGGAGTAATGCCAATTGAGGACAATATCATGAATACAAAAACAAACCAAAAGCCTGATGCTAGTAATTTAAAAAGTTTATATGAAAAGAACTTAGAATCATGGTACAATTTTATCGTTACTCTTACAGACGAACGAAATGCAAAGTATTATCCTATCAATGTTTCACAAGCACAGCTCATAACGCAACTCTCTTTAGATGCTTTACTTGAACAATTAAAACAACTAAATGATACTGGTATCGCAAAGAGAGCTATGCTTTTAGCTTCACTATCATTACGGTGTATTACTTCATGGAAGCATATGTGTGTAGGCGACTCACAAATTTTTAAAAACAAACTAATGAAACTTACCCAAGAAATTGGACAAGAATACCGAGGATACGGAAAATCTCTACGTCAAACATTGATTTCTTTGTTACTCGGTTGTGTGCAATTAATAAAAAGCACTCTTGCAGAGGACACAATTAGTCTTGAATATTTATTAAACTATTCATGTATAATTGCTACTAACGAATTGGAAGAACTACGAGATTCAGCTATTCAATTACTTAAACAAAAACAAGTATTTCCAAAAGATACTAGCAAAAAAGAAATATCATCGATAGATACGAGTTCTGTGAAAGGTACAGAAGAAATGAATATAGAAACTGTCCAAAGTACTCGCAAGAGTTTGCCAGCAACATTAACAATCTGTCTGGTGACTCAACTTCTACGTTCTTACGTAGAACGTAGTCATTCAACTAAACGTCGTCGAAAAGCTACTTGTGCTCAGCTTCGTCAAATGATACCTGAACTGATAACATGTGTCTGCATTACTTTACAAAAGTATCCTTACCTCAAATTTAGTACAGCAGCATTGAATTTACTTAGCATAATAACACGTTCGCCTTATTGTCCAAAATCAATCAACGAAAATGATACTGCTAAATTATGGCTAGCATTAATACCACCTGCAGATATGGGTAGCAGTATGCTTGATTACCTATATGATGACACTCCCAATGGTCAATGGCGATGTCAGGATTGGTGGCCAATTTATACTCTTGGATTAGAAATCATTATGGGCTTAGTAACAAGTGAAACTCCATCAATATATATAAAACCTATAGTAATATTTTTAAATTCTCATGAATATCAACTCATGGCAGTATCAACATTACTCAGACATACAGCTGATCTATATGCTGCTGATTTAATCCAAAGCTTGGTTGCTCTCATTCATAGTATGGCAACTCAAGAATATATTTGGAACTCCATACCATCTACTATACGTGAAACACTTATCAAATGTATGTATCTTGCATATGACAGTACCGTAAACTTATTATTACGACCACGAATATTAAAATTTATAATTGATGGTATAAGCGTGGAGAGTGCAGAAGAGCTAAAGTCTTGTGATGAGAGATTACCAAGCGGTGAATTAAAATTACTTGTTAACAAATTGATAGTAATTAATACTACTTGTGCTTTGTGTTTTGTTTACTTCTCACCTAGATTAAATACTCTCGTTGATACCATATACACGCAAGATTTTTGGTATACACCAATGGCTGAAATGAACTTTGGTGCACCTCAAATGAGTATAAGTTCCGGTCCACGGTTAACTTATGGTACAATTATTAGTTCCACGCAATTATTTACTCAAGCCTTACATTCGAGAATACATACAACTAGCATATTGTCTATACCTTCAACAAATCAACCTGGTAAAGAGGATAAAAGTGACTCCGCTAAAAAAGAATGGGAACGTGCTGCACCTGAAAATATTCGACGAATGCACACAAGTAAGGATTTAAGAAGAATCATACATGCTGCTTCAGGTTCAGGAACCTCAAGATCTGCATCAGCAAATATAGCTGCTGATTATCTTGGATATGTTAGCGGGCTTGATGTAACAGTACCGTTACTAAGCAGTCCACGTCTCGTTCGACGACCCTATGATCCTCTTATCTGCGAGAATACTATTCTCTCAAAAGCAACTGCCTTAGCAGCAGGAAGACACGTCGCTAAGAGTGGTAGTGGAACACCATCAGGTACTAATAATGGTAGTCCAAATGTAGCAAAAAATCATACAAATAAATTTAGTGATCCCTGGTTTGAATCAATGGATGAAAATAATACAAGATTAGCGCTCGAGATCAATCTTGTACTGATATTATGTCAAGCCCTTGAAGGTGTTAGAAGTCCAAGATTAGCTCTACGAGATCGTCAACTGATAGCACGTGAAACAGCCACAGAATTAGGTATTTTCTTTGATTTTCTTGAACATCGTGGTACTCCTGACATTTGGCAAGTCAAAGGATCTCTTCTGGATGTTGATGCCAAGAGTGTGAGAACGATTCAAGATACTGTAGATCCTATTCAAAAGATGTCACATGCTAGACTTCGTGAAGACAGTACCGTCAATAAAGCACCAGTAACTTTAGCGAATGCTGACGATGATTCGTTTAAAAATGAACAAGATGTTCTCGAAAAAAGACTCGATGAAAATATTTTAACTACTGGAACTTTTGCAGCAAATATCAGTAGTGTACAATTTTTACCATTAATGGGAAAATTATTGAAATCTGTGGTAGAATCATTAGATTCAACGCATTATTAATCTTTACATATGACCCACGTAAGAAGTAAAATGTTTTCTAAGATCAATGTTTTTTATAAGTACATACTACATATACAGGTTGCTGAAAGACTGAAAAAAAAAGAAACATCTTATATTGTTTGTACAGTGATATTGTTATGATAAAATCATAAGAAATTAAATACATTTAATGAAAAAGAGAAGTAAAAGCGTTTAACAAAAAGCAAAATAAATAAATATAATCCTGCTTGTTTATAATTATGTATATCATTTGTACTTTTTTTAAAGCTAAAATATCATGAAACAAAATTATCTCATATTAATTTTAATAATAAAAATATACATATATAATGTGAATGTGTTCCAGACAGAAGATTTCTGTTCATAAACAAACAATATATATATAATACAAATAAATAATGTAAAGATTTTATATAAAAAAAAAAAAAAACGAAATAGAAACATTTTTGATATCGCGTGTACAACATTAATATATAACATAAAAATATATTTTAAAGGATATGCAAAAGGAAATACAATGGAATTTAAAGTATTTTTGTTTAATCTGTTCATTGTAAACGTCTGACAAGATCTTATTTAGTCAGACTAAATTATCGTACAACGCGACTGCACTCTCGCGCGTTTCAGTGCCAGGTGAAAATAGACGTTCTTGTCAGGATAATAAACTTACAAATGTACGCTTAAAGGTGCTGAACTTACATACTCATACTTGACTGTAATTTAATCTTGATCGTTCATTTCTAAAGATATTTCATAATGAAATATAGTTTCTGTTGTGAGAGAGGAATTATTAATACGAAATGTTGATCTATTTACGACAGCAACAACATAGAAAAGATAAAATATATAAATAGGTAGAAGCTATATAATTGTATCTCAATTCAACGAATTGTATTTATAAATCCATGCCGAATTGTTATTGAAGTAAAACTTCTTTTATTTATATAGTTCCTCGCATGGATTTCTATATCTCGTGAATCTTTCATGAAAGATATTTCGTATCTTTCTTTATAGTATGCGTCATCGTCTCACATTTCACCGGCTCACTCGCGCCAAGAACGATCGATAATCATATTACGATAGAGTATAAAAATATATTTCCTGATACTAACAAATATTACGTGTTTACGACAATAGTAATGAAGTGAGTGTCCGATCAATCCGAACACATAAAGACATCCGCCACCATTTTTGAAGAAAGCCCAAGGGTCGTGTTAGACGCTAAGGAGGCAAGTGCGGTAAAATATGCTCTGGTGATGGTGAATCGTTTGAATCATTACTTCTCGATGACGACGAGACTCGCTGATGATACAAATTGTTTGAGGTTGTATTCGAGCCGGAACTAGGACTAGTTGTTATTGTGCTCATCGTACCGGTCGTCGTTAAAGCCATTGTAGTGGTAGTTGTATTAACGCTTTTCGTCATCATAACAGAAGGAGTGGATTGAGATCGCGTGCCTGTATTAGACCACGTAAGCGAGTTCCCACAATTTGATTCGGATGATAAGCAATCGGATTGTCGCGATGCCGATGAACAATATGCAGATGTTAATAAAGTATTTGCATTTGTTACTGTTGCTGACATAGAGGCTGTCAGTGGAGTCGGTGGTGGTGGTGGAGGTGGCGGCGGTGGAGGTGGTGTAACTGATTGGGACATCCGGAGCAGATCCGTGAAAGGTGCGTCAGCAGCATTGCAGACCCATGGCTCTGTGGATTTCGAATCGTCATTGTTCGTTGTACCAGCGTTGGACCTTTGCCGTTTCGCATCGCCATACAGCAAACAGTGAACATTCGGTGAACTGCTTCGATCGCGAACACCCTCTTGTTCCTCAAGAAATCGATCCATATAGTCCCTGCTTGCGATTTAATTATCCCGTCATACTTCTACATGTCATTTATGCTCGACACAATGCACATATATGTTGATTCCCATTTTTATATTTTGATATGTTTAATATTTCAAACGTGAATTACTACAGAAAAGATACTCACGTGATACCTGGATGTAAAGCATATTTTTTCTTCTCTATACGAGCCTTATACGTAAATATATCGTGTCTCTCTGTCTTTTTCCATAAATAATAAAACTGCACTAATTCCCCGACAGATCTTGTTCTCACCTAAGAGAATTTGACTATTAATTTATATTATATTTGAATAGAATTTCAGTAATACGTTAGTTTGACTTAAAGTTTCCCGAATTCCATACCTTATTCCTTTGAATAAGATGAAAGTCTTTTCCATAACTTCTTAAACCGGACTCAAAATTATGACATTCTTCTTCTGACCACAAACTAACAGCATCTGTCGATGGGATAACATTCATTCTACGTCTTCTTAATGCTTCCTCTAGGTTGTAACCACATTGCAGTAACAGATATAAGGCTTGTTCATCGTCTCTAATGTGAGAACCTGCAGGTAAAGAACCTGTTTTCATTGCTGGCAATTGTGCCCGTTCTAAGAACTCTTCTGTTTCTTCCTCTGGTATATGGCTAGGATCCCAAAGCATTTTATCCTCGTTTTCATAAGGCAGGGCATCATCGTATCGACAAAGACCTTCTGGTATTGCTGCTTGGTAATCGCTACCAACCATGATTGTCTTTTTCCATTCTTCCTCATCTGGGCTATAATCACAATCATCTTCTTCTTCTTCACTTTGTGGTCGTGATACACTTCGTAAAAGTCTCGATGTACCACCACCAATACTAGCACTAACTAGTCCATCTTCTCCTCCATCGGCAACGACAGCACCAACACTGTTACCTTCTCCTCCATTGCCACCATTACCTGTTGAGCAATCATCACGTGATCCAATAACAGAACAGGAAGAATTTCTACTTCCAGTTGCTTGCATTACTCCTGTACTTCCATTGTCACTGCGATTATTTATCAATGGACACTCTTCTCCTTCTACTTCTTCGTCATCGTCCTCTTCATCATCAAGTCTATGTCTTTTACCACAATCAGTGGAATTTGCACTGTTACTTCCTTTTCCTGTATGTCCTGATACAGAGGATTTGCAATCTTTGCTTTTCACCAACATTTCATTATAAAATTGTTTAAGATCAGGCTCATTGCTAGTTGCATCAGCTTCATCGTCATCGTCGTCATCATCCGCATCATTGTCACCTTTGTCCGAATACCGATCCTCACCCTCTGGATCATCGTTTCCAGTTGGAAGTAACATTTGATCTGAGCTATTTGAATTCTCAGTAGAGGGATCTCCGTATCCATACATCGCAAGCAGATCTTTCAGAGGCATATCACCTTCCTGAAAGAAGATAAAAAGATGAATGATTATTACACCAACCCAAAGATGTATATTATGCATGAAATCTCACTACAAGAACGCACTTTGAGTCCAAAGTGTTGTAGAAACTTATCATAATTGTAATTATTTATTGGCTTGATTTTTTCATTTCACAGGCTTGATCCTAGAATAGTTGGGATCAGACGTTTGTTACAAAGTATATATATATAAGTACAAAGATATATAATTATAAATTATTAATAAGAAATAGTAAACGATTATACCTTTTGTAAATTGGACAACTCGTTGTGCGAATCCTCACTACCTTCTAAGGCTTCTTCCTCGTCTAGTGTACGCTCATCATCAAAATCATTTACCATCATCTCCGTGGCAGGACCCATGTCAAAATCTCTGTCTGCCCTATAAAATCACAGATTCTTTTATAATAATTAACATAAATATTAATATTTTTAACAACTGTTCATAAAATTTACTTATATACTTCTAATACGACTATTTAATCAACATACTTACATGTCTTGAATAATTATGTTAGCGAAGACAGGACACTTGCACCAGTATTGTGAGAGACCATTAGCATACAAACGATTTACCTTCGAAAACTTGACATGATGCACTAAACTTGATATTTAGTATAAAGTTTAATATTACACTATCATTCTCACATCTATTTTCTAATACAACAGTCAGCTATACTATGCACAACTTGTATATACTTAAAACAACGCGAACCTAACCTCCAATTGTCATAGTATTTTCGTTTTGTTCTTCTTCGTGTATTGTAATTCTTTCCATGAAAAAAGTAATAATAACAAAATAACACTTAACATTATTTATTTTATATGCATCATTCTTCGTCAAATCTTTATAGTTAAATTTGTCAAATTTATATACAACTCAAACTTCTAGTGTAACGAGCATTAGTCAACAAAGTATTAATTAATCCGATTTATTCTATACATTTTAAATACACAATTGCACACAATGTTAAATAATATTTAACAAAATTTATACAAACATCTTTATACGAAAAATACATATGTGAAAATGTTTAAAGATGTACACCCCATTATTTATATCCACGCATATAATATGGTGGCGCGTACCGCGATATTATAATATAGAACAATTTTCACTGAGCGGGAAAATCATGTTAATTTTTTACAATGACCAATAAAAAAAAAATTATCTCTTATCCTTATTAAAAATATCTTTACAATAATTTTTTAATTGGTATCTTTTATTAACTATCTTTTATTTTTATCGAACATCAAAACGATATTTAATTATTTAATATCAAAATAAATTTTATGAAATTAATATTAAATATAATATATTAATGTAATATATATATAACTGACATTAATATTAAAATTGAGGCTAAAAATGTTAATAATAATTAATGAAAATGAGCTTTTAAAGATAATTACATTTGATTAATACTTTACAATACTTTAGTACAAAATTCTTATCTTTGTATAATTTTTCGATTACATGACATTTTTCTAATGAAACTCACCGAGTTATTTTAATTTCAGTTTCATTTTTCGAATATTACGTTAATTATGTTTCGTTTGGCAGTAAACCCATATAAAAAAATATTGGTTAATAAAATTATTATTTATTATTCAATAAATATCTATTAATAAATGTAATTGAGTTTAATATTAATCGTTTCTTATTTTTCAGGTTAATTATGCAGAAATACGATTTTCGTTATATAGTACAAGGTAATCATACAATTGCAAATATAGATCATATCGATCATTAATATTGTCAAATCACTGTAATATAATTAATAAAAATTCACATATGTATTCTTAAACTTGATGCGTGTACATATATTACACGAATACGCGCGTGCGCACATACACACACACATATACATTATTGACAATTGACAGATGAATACAGTAGAATAAATATTGACATTAGAAATAATTTATTTTTATAGAATAATTTGTTCATATAATTACACATAAAAACTTAATCAAAGTTTAATAATGTGTAGAAGAATTTGGAAGTTTCTTTGTATTACAAGTAAATGTTAAATATTTCAAATTTACAGTAGGAGTAAGTAAAGTAAAAATACTCATGTATAATTCACTGTAGTTTATATTATTTAATTATTTTCAGGAACGCATTCTCATCATATACGTCAGATGAATATCAATACATGCAGATGAGTAAAGTTCCAACGATGCATTTTCAACCTTCCTTACCTCGTTTACCAATTCCTAAGCTTGAAAACTCATGTCAAAGGTATTTAAATGCACAACGACCTATTATAAATGAAGAACAATTCTGCAAAGTTGAGTCTTTAGTTAAATGCTTTCTTAATGAAGATGGACCCACATTACAAAAAGAGCTTATTCAAAAAGATTCTAAGAATCGTCATACAAGTTATATTAGTGAACCTTGGTTTGATATGTATTTGAAAGATCGTAAACCATTACCCATTAATTATAATCCTTTTCTAGTATTTTTGCCAGAAACTGATACACGATACAATGATCAGTTGGTAAGATCTACTAATCTTGTTATATCTTCATTAAGATTTATGAAATCTTTAAGAAAAGAAATTTTAATACCAGAAGTATATCACATTAATCCTAAAAAATCAGATACTGAGTTCTTTAAAAAAGTTACAGGATTACTTCCATCTAGTATAAGTTGGGCTGGTGCTTATTTGTTTAAGGTAAGAAAATATAAATAAAGTTTAATCAACAGCAAACATTTTCCAGATATAATTACCAAAAAATATTAACAAATAATGACTGGATAAAAAAAAATACATTTAGTTTCTATATATTTCGTCAACTTTTAAAAGAAGAAATTATTCTCACAGGCTTTTCCATTGGATATGTCACAATATCAACATCTCTTCAATACAAGTAGGATACCGCAACAAGGAAAAGATCAAATTTATCATGATGCTAAAGGACGTCATTTAATTGTAATGCGTAAAGGTCATTTCTATGCAGTTGATGTTTTGGATGAAAATGACTATATTCGACAACCTAATGAAATAGCTGCTTCCTTAAAATTAATTTTGGAAGATGATAAACCTTACAATACATATCCTATTGGCGTATTAACAACATCAGAACGTAATAAGTGGGCATCTGCTAGATTACATTTAATAGATATAGGAAATGAAAATAATTTCCAAAAAATAGATTCAGCTTTATTCACTTTGATATTGGATGATGATCATATCGGTGATGATTACAATAAATTATTTAAAACATACCTTCATGCTGATGGAACAAATCGTTGGTTTGATAAATCTTTTTGTTTAATTGTTACAAAAGATGGATATGCTGGTTTGAATTTTGAGCATTCTTGGGGAGATGGAGTATCAGTTCTTAGATATTTTAATGTAAGATACTAAGGATGAAGATTAATATAAATTTGTATTTATGTAATATTTTATGTAAGAAAATAAAAATTTGCATAATTTTTTTTTTATTGTTGCAGGATGTACAAGCAGATATGTCAAAAAAACCAAGATTTCATCCTGAAAATGTGAAAGATCTTTCTGCTAGGCATGTTTTAAAAGTAGACAAACTTGAATTTGTATTGGATTCAAAAATTAAACACATTATTGACGAAGAACGAAAAAATTATGAAATGTGGGTAAAGCAATTACTTTTAAGTCATGTTTTATATGAAGGATTTGGTAAAGACGAAAGTAAACAAATAGGGATTAGTACAGATGCAGTAATGCAATTGGCATTTCAATTAGCATACTATGAACAGGAAGGTCAAATGGTACCGACTTATGAACCCTGTAGTACAGCAGCTTTTAAACATGGGCGCACAGAAACTATTAGATCATGTACTTCCCAAACTAAAGCTGCTTGTATAGCTTTAACACAGAAAAATAATAATATTTCTACTGCAGAACTTAAAAAATTGATTTTTGATTGTAGTCTTACACACAATAAACTCATAAAAGAAGCTGCCATGGGTAAGTTCAATTAATTCTTCATTTTTGAATATCTTTTTATAAAATTATAAAAATCATTTTTTGATATATTATTATTATTATTATTATACTATTACAGGACAAGGATTTGATAGACATTTATTTAGCTTAAAAACAATTTGTGAAAAATCAGGTACACGTATGCCTGCTATATTTGAAGATCCATCATACAATTATTTCAATCATTATATATTGTCTACTTCTACTTTATCAAGTCCTGCATTACTTTGCGGTGGTTTTGGGCCTGTCGTAAATGATGGATATGGAATTGGGTAAAAAAATATTCTATAAATTTCAAGATACATAATAATATAAAGATAATCAAAGTTAAATACTTCCAAATATAAAATTAGAATATTTCTTTTATAAGAAACAATAATATATTTTTTAGGTACCTAATACAAGATAATATGGTGGGTGCTATAGTAAGTGGTTATCAAGGGCATCGTAATGTCACCGATTATGTCAAAAACTTAGAGAATGCATTGAAAAAAATTCATAGACTATTAATAAGTAAATAATATAAAATTTGATAACATATGCAAATGTTAAAAGTAAATTTTATATATTAAGACCAAGTTAAAATGTTGTTTATGAAATATATAGTACACAAATATCATTAATATTTTTTGTATTTTACATTTAACATATTTTTGATATTTTTGTACATCTAAATAATTCATATTTTACATGATATTGAATAAATATTTGTTTACTCTTTTTATAAGTGTTAATTCACTCTCTAACTTTTGCTTAATGATAATATAAATTCCATCAATTTCAAACATTACAATATCTGTTACATTAAAAAATGTTATAAAGAAACAGAATTTTTTATGATTAACAAAATTTTCCAATTCATATTCATTATTATTATGAACACAAATGCGATTGGGAAATGAGCACTTTATATACACTAAATTATACATCAATTAAAGTATTACAACTTAAATTATTATTATAATATATACTTTAAACTATGATAATTAGTGTGATAATGCCAAATACTTAGCAATGCACAGGAAGTTATCAAACATTTGAAATGTTCATCCACAAATAGTCTTATGTATTTGTTACACGAAGTTATATTTCAGGTGCATCAATGAAATACTTTGGTATCCATTGATAAAATTAAAGAAGTCTGCTTTTCTACATTTGTTTACTTAATGATGATAAAATATGGAATGAAACATGACGAACTACAATGTATTGTTTCATGCATTGTTTTAATAAATGCATTTATGCCTTGTTCCCCATTTTCACTTTTGATGTCTATGGAAATAAACAGAATATAATCCATAAACAATAATACCAATAATATTAAATTAATCATTTTATTCAATTATTACTTACCATATAAATACCCACAATGAGTCCAAAAAGACCTATAGCTGATCCAAATATTTCAACTATAAGAATTTTAACAAAAAGTGCAGAATTAGCTGCATCAGCTAATGCCGCACCAGAACCAACAATCCCTACAGCTATACCGCAAAACAGATTAACAAGACCTACAGCAAGTCCTGCTCCAAACATCAAATAACCTGCCAGCCAATTCTGACTCTTCACATCCAAACCATCAGGTGAGTTAACTTTTTCATAAGTAAATTCTTCAAGCATACCAGACAATACTATGGCAGTAATCAAACCATAAATAGCTACTGCTTCACAAAATATCACAGAAATTAAATTTTTGGTCTTTATTCTAGGTGCTTTAACACCACCACCGATAATAGATACTCCTGTTGTATGAATGCCTCTAAAATCAAATAATAAATTTATAGTAAAGTTAGTTTTATTGTTTAATATAAAAATATATTTTAGAAACTTACAATGCTGCACCAACAACAGATAATGCAACTGCAAGTCCAATACCTAAGGTAGCCCACATATATGGTGATGTTTTTTCCAAAAACCTAAATAATGAAACTACTTGATATCGTTCTAATATTGTTTATTTGAATTAAATTATAAAGGTCTTTTTTCATAACTTACCATGCAATACTGACACGTTCTCCTTTACCAGTAAATACATGATACAATACTGTAACAAGAGTTAACATTTAGTTTTATACTAAATAAATATAGTTAAAAATAATATAATTTTATACTAAATAAAAATTTGCTTAAACTATTTATAATATGTCAGTACTGTTATATAATTATGTATGTATCTAAAAGAAAGAGAATGGTAAATATTATCAAATTATTTAATATGAAATAATTTTAGACACATACCTAAAATTACGATTGTGATAGAAGCAGTAGTTGCAAAAGTGGTACCCAATATACTTCGCATTTGAGCCATTTTATTAATTTAAAAAGAACCTTCTTCTTTACACTATGTGATGATAATCAATAAATTTTACAAAGAAATAATATTAATTTGTAAATACTAAAGAAATAGATACTTCATATACTGATATTTTCAGAGTAACGCACACACACCCATCATCATGTGACTGACTACTGCTGCGCTGCTGATCAAGGTGGAGGGGTTAAGTAAGACTTTAGTTGTGTTGTCCCAGAATTGTCATCCAGGTAAAACAGATAGTTTTTGTTAAGCACAATCTTTCGGCTTGAAAGTATACTAAAACAAATAGCAGTAGCTCCAGCTAGAGAAATTAAACAGAACTAATTTATTTAGAGGTACACATGCGCACGCATGATAATGACGTCACGATTCGTATTAATTGCTAATTATATTTTATATGCATATTGTGTGTACTTTGTTTATAATAAATTCGTAAATAATAATTTTATTTTTAATCTAATCCTGTTTCAATAAGTGAAAAATTTGAATCTTTGGATAAGCTTATATATTTATAAAATGTATTGCGCGCGCGCAGGTGTACAACCAATAGTATATGAATATATAAGAAATAACCAATGAAAAATGAAGATAGATTTAATATACAATATGACGTCAGTGTATAGCATTTTGATTCGCTGAGGCGTGTACGTTAGATTTATACTTTAATGTAAATAAGACACATGATAGTATAGCTTCAAGATAATTGGTTACGAGTTTCTAAGCTCAGAACCAATGAGATCGTTCGAGCCAGTAGAGCCACGGGTACGCTCAATAAAGGGCGCTAGTGTCTGTCAAGTGTCACAGCCGTTCCCTGTCTCCTCAGTATTGTGACTTAAATCGGTGATTTAATTAGGAATAACCGTATTTTTTTCTAGAATTTGTGCAAACTTTAAGCAATAATGACCGACAAGAAAGGTAACTATACGCCGTAATCGCGCAGTACGATTAGCGATATGTGTTACATTCGTTAAGATTATCCCGTGTTTTCGAGTCGCGAGTAACAACTTGTCACTCGTATGACGGAAAGTTTCTTATGCCAGCGATGCCGACCGACACCTGCGAGACACGGTGTACGTTCGATTGTATTAGAGCTCGTATTGTTGTTACGTGATCGGATCACCGTCGTGCATCGACGAGAAAAAACTCAATTCTCTCTGTCTTTAGTGACAGATAAATCAATACCGCATACTGTGTGTGAGAAATACAAAATGGCCTCCAGAGTTTGTCCCGGATTATTCTTACTTTATATTTTTATTTCCAAAATTTCATTTGCCACGAATCTAGATTACATTTCTTATTATAACGAAACTATCAAAGGATTAGCGGGTTGAGATTATTTAATACGACTTTGCCAATGTCCTTCTCGTTAAAGCAAATGATAATATATATCAAACGTGCAGCATGCATCTGCATTTACGAATTATATACGCTCTACAGGTTTTTGACAATTTTGTCTAATAGTGCGCCATTAATCGTTTCTTTTCGAAGAAATTATTCAAAAATAAATGATTTTTTTTTTTTAAAGAAAGTTAACGTATATTATATTGCGATAAAGTAAATGTATTTTTTTAATGGAGGAGAACCTTATTAGATTATATATCTAAAAGCAATATCGAATCAACTAGAAAATTTTAAAAACTATCATCTTAGTAATTAAAAAGATAAATGACGTTATAACATTAGTAAATATTCATATGAAATTGATAGTATTATTATTAACAAATTGTCCAAATTAATTTTATAATATTATGTTCATATATAAATTTTATAACTTATTGTGTTTTATAAAAATTTAATGCAAATATATATATGTATACATATATATATATATATATATATATATATAGTGTCTATAGATATATATATATACANATATATATATATATATATATATATATAGTGTCTATAGATATATATATATACATACGCGCGCGCGTGTATATATATATAATATAAGTGTGCGTACGTAGGATACATAGAATAAAAAGAAGTTTGATATCATGAAAATCTTTATTTATCTAAATTACATATCTCTGGAAGTCATTTAATTGTAATTTTTCATGTAATTATACATATAAAAGATAAATATTAATAATTATATGAGTTTTAATATGATTTCAAGTTTGTGTTAAAAACAATTAAAGGAACAAAATATTCATTCAAAATTTGCATGTTATTAATATACATAGTTTGCATATTTCATTACAAAGGTTAAGAATACAATATCAATTAATTCAATCAAAAAGTAATATCGTATTACTTTATCAAAAACTATATCTGCTATATGAAATAAGTTAAATCACAAACAAACAAACAAAAAAAACACAAATACATTGATCTTGATGTCACTAGAGGGAGCAGAATAATCATAAATTAGTAATTTTGTTTGAAACGCAAATTTTCTTAATATCCATAACATTATTGAAAGTATACTCTGTCAACTCTTTACGTTTTTCAAACGATTTAAAACCTTTGAGTTGAATTAATCTCTATGCATGTTACTTTTGTCACAAGCGCCATCCCTAATCAGTGCATCACCAACATAATAATTTTGTGCAGATCAAGTATTTAATTTGTCGTTACAAGCTCATATAAGATTTGAAAAGAAAATACTCATTTGACATACAACTCAATCATAAATTTAATTGTATTTACCTCGTGTCGACCTTTGATGGGGAAGAACTTAAACACTCAAGCTGATACTTCGTTACACCAAACCTTGTCTTATCGTTAACCAGGTGAAGTGTCAGAAAGTATAGCTTTAAGGATATATATAAAGCTTAGTTTGTAAGTTAAAGAAAATGGTATAGCCCTTTTGCGATACTCCTTTTGTAATATTGAGTATCAAGGATACGCTGCCTGCGAATCTGCGACCTTATTACCGTGATGGTATAGCTACTGAAATGAAGAATAGTGCCTACAGTTGTGGCTGTCAATATGTTTGCAGCGGACCATTACAAAGACGATTTGATCCCAGTCAGTAGGTGGAGCTTCGGAGACCGGCGTTCGCGCAGCTTAAGCCACGTATCTAACCTCACCTTACTTAATATATTACCTTAAATCACTACGTGTTTATATACCAACATATATTAAGTATATTACATATATATATATATACTCACACTTATATGCATATCTACATGCAATATATACACACACACATAATATACACAAAACACGAATATCACTTAATATATATATATATATTATATATATATGAAGATATAGACGCGCCGTGCGCCTCCTGATTCAAAAAGTGATGAGAAATGAAACATAACTTCCGTTTCCGGCCCGGGTTTCCCCGCCTATAATCGTCAGGAATTCGTTACTCGCGTCTTTAAAAGTCTCGAGAAAACGGATGGCCCTTAAGTTCTGCGACAATCCGGGTAATTCGCAATCATGTGTTAGGATCATTTCGAGATAATAAGGCTTGGTCGCATCGCTTCTGCTTAGCATTTTAAGTACCACTTGAGCTTGTAATCGTTCTATTCATACTATATCCTTCAATCTTCATTTTATCTTTTACAAGAATAAACTTATTCGTCAGTTTGTTCAAATTGATCACGATATATCTATCAATGAAGTAAACTTCATTATTCGGAGTTTGCTTCTGTGATGATTCGTTAACTTACCCTTGAGAGTTTTATATTTTCTTTTAATTGAACAAAATAAAAGTATAGCATCATGGATATAATATTTAGATAATAAAATTAGTTAAACTTATAATACTTCTTCAATAATATATTATCTTCTTACTTGTTATCATATTGATATATTTTTTGTTTTGTTTTTTTTTTTTTGTATAAAGTATTATTATGTAAATGGAACTGTTTGTTTATCTATTAAGTGGTACTTATCTTACTGTATAATGATCATCGTCTGATCAACGATCAATCGCTACGTGGAAGGGATGTATCCATGCCTATGATTGACTTTTTTTCCCACTAATTTCATCATCGTTTATTCCAGGCAGTACAAGTCAATAAAAAAGACGCACGATCAACCGGTATCGAGGATTGAGAGAATTTCCCACGTGTAACGAAAAATCAATTCGTTGAATGGCCGAGGCACGGAAGTAAAGATATTTCTTCCGTGATTTAATGGTAGAGCATAAATAGTTCTCGATGATAGGAGATTGCGACGCGTGCTTCTTTTGTCAGGATGCGAAATTAAGATAGGCAAAAGATCACTTTTAGGATCTCACACTATCACCGGCGTATTTGTAAGTTTTTTTGAGAATGCGTTTAAACGTGACCGAGTATATAAATACTTTTTGAATTGGAGACGTCGGCTGCTATATATCCAAATCAATATGAACGTAAGATATTGATATGGGTGTACCAATATTTCGTACTGAAAACGTGGTATTGGCTGATTGCTTAATTTATACTTTTTTGTCTTTTCGTTTTTACTTTTTTCTTTTTAACTTACTTTTTTTATTTCTACAGTGTCTCCGCCGTGTCCAAACGAGCGTGCATGATATGATCTTCATTCGAATCGATCTTATCAATTAAATCATGAGTAACGTTACCTAACAATAGTAATAATGATGATGATGATTACAATGTTGTTGTTCTTGTTGTTGTTGATGATGATAATGATGATAATGATTATGATGATTATGAAGATCATGATGATGATTACTGTCTACAAATGGGAGGGGGAGATAGAAAACAAACGAAATGTTAAAAATCGAAGATTAATCACGCGATTAAGACACGGCGTGACACCAGGGTGGACACGAATGCTGTATCTAAAAGCTCAGCGTATATTTATAATATTTCTACTTGATAGAAACTTTGTAGCTCACTTTTAACAATAGTGCATGTTGCTTTTTTATCTCGGGCTACAAGTTTCTCGACATTACAAAAAAGAAAAAATAAATCAATAAAATAAAATAAGAAAAGAAAACAAAATTAACAAAATGAAAGGAAGAAAGAAAGAATGAAAGAAAGGCAAAACAAAACAATTAACATTTGCTCTCTCGTGTGATGATTTATACGTGTAATAATTTGTTAAATATTTCTGTCTTCAAAAAAAAAAAAAAGTATATTATTAATATAAAATCAAATGAAAACCAATAAATGTGGTTTTTTTTTTTGTCGCGTGGCAGATTTGAAATCATAATTTGTTATCCAACGAAACTTGTGGTCAATCTTGCACGTTTGTAGTTTTACAAAATTATACTTTATTCGAGAATAGTAGAAGACACTTAGTTCTTTCTATTCTATTATATAATTATTGAATTGTTTGATGAATATATTATATATATATATATATATACTGTGTATATATACATATTTATATATATATATATATATATACATATATATACGTACATATGTATATCTACGTATTTATCTTTCGTAGACATAATTATAATAGTTATTTTTTAATAAGGATACATTTTCAAAAGAAAAACGTAATATCATGATCGCTTAAAGATTGAGTAAATGAAAAATTAAAAAAAAAAAAAAAAAAAAATAAAAAGAGAGAGTGAGAAAAAAAGAGAGTAGTAGGGGGAGAAAGAGAAAGAAAACAAAAAAGATATAATAATAAAAAAAAAAAAGATAAAAAAACATGATTTAAATTTGTTGCTTAATTGACAAAGTAAGACAAAGAGAATAAATAAAAGTGAAAGGGGTGGGTGGGTAGATCTCTGGGCGTGTTGGAAGCGTGGAATTATACATAAATATACAGACTATATAACGTCAAGTGAAATTACGTTTGCCTGCATCAATCGGTTAATGTGCAAGTATAGCTTTAATGATTTTTACGTATTTGTATTTTAGTTTGCATGTTTGGAACGTAATTTAGAAATGATGTGTGTATATTTATATATTTATATATATATATATATACATATACATATACATATTTGAATTAGTGAACAAGCGTCATCAAATAAAGTGTAATAAATATAGATCTTAGAAAATGTCTTTAATCTTCTTTCATTTGCAAAGAAATACAAGAATATTTATAATAATTTATTTTATAAAAAAAAAAAAAATAATAAAAACAAAAAAAAAATAAACTGAAGACGCTTGGACACTTAATTATATTATTTGATGTGTTGCCTATATTTATTATGCATGCTTTTGGTATATTACATATATATATATATATATGTTAGAGAAATTTCCTCTGAATTCATTCTCTCCAATATTAAAAAGGAAAATATGTAAAAATTAAATGAATGAAAACAATTATTGTTTGTATCAATATAAAGTCATTTGATTGATTAATTAATTAATTAATTAATTATGTATTTTAATTATAATGATTAATTAAATGATTCTGAATAATTGACGAAAAATATTCGTTTTTTTTTGTTGTTTCTTACAAATGGAGAGATATGTTATTCGTATGAAGAAGAGGACATTTTTATAATATTTTGAATGAACTTTTTTTGTATTATAATTAAATAATTTTATTATAGTTAATATTAATAATTATTATCCAAGAGATTTTCCTATTCCTTACGGTTGTTCAAATAATTATTATTTTCATTATTAAGATGATCTATACGAAATATAATTTAAAGATTCATAAATTGTTTCGTACGTTCCTTCATATTTGTTTCTCGTTTAATTATTTTAAACAGAAAGAAAGCGAGAGAGAGAGAGAAAATAAAAGATAGAAAAAGAAAGAAGGAATGAGAGAGAGAAAGAGAGAGAGAGAGAGAGAGAAAAAAATAAAATAATTTTATCGGGACATCGTGATTAGGATCATAGGAATTTCTCTCAACAATTTTTATTTGCATGTGCATGTGTTGGCAGACACTATATACCATGTATACTGTTAATAGTGAGCTTAAATGATATAATGTTTTATGAAACTAGTCAAAAGTTTAAGGGTTTTAATGCCTCCATTATTAAAAAAAAACGAGTAATGGTATGAAAGATGAAAGTTTTTGAACTTCAAATACAAATAGAAATGTTATAATTAATCGATATTTACAAACGTGATTTAATATTATATGATGTATGATTCTTTTATATATTAATATTATAAAGCTACTATATATTACTTTTTATAATATATAATATAAATAAATTAATTTATTTTAATAATAATATAAATATATTATTTACTCTATTTAACTTTATAATATATATATATTATATAGTTTTAGTACACTATAAAGTTACTATAAGTACTATAAAGTTAAATAGTAAATAATATATTTATATTATATATATATATATTATTTTTTTGTAAATCGTGGCGGGAAATGATTTGAAAGTTAAAAACAATTTATCTCTCATACCTGGCAACTCGATTTTGACTTTGGAGGTACAACTGTTCCACCGAAGCATTTCGATAAATTATCGTTGTTAACAAAAAAACCAAAAAAAAAAAAACAGATAGACTACAAATGTTATTTTTATTATCGATGGCAGTGTCGAAATATTGCTCATCTTATATATATATATATTTTTTTTTTTACATTAAGTTTATTGAAAAGAATTGAAAAGAAAAAGAAAATAAAAAATTAAAAAAAGAAAATAAAAGAAAGAAAATAAAAGAAAAATCCTTCCATTTGGCTGTGACGCGAACTGGGTCGAATATGCTCATTGGGACAAATTGTGGTAGAGAGAAAGAAAAAGAGTTAGAGACAGAGGGAAGGTGGGAAAGAGAACAAGAGAGAGAGAGAGAGAGAGAATGGGGTGAGAAAGAGAGGCAGAAAAAGACGAAGACAGACAGACAGAAAAAAAAGAAATAGAGAGAGAGAGAGAGAGAGAGCAGGACATTTTTCAAGTTTATCCAGTAAAACTCGTACTAGCATTAATATTATAATCAATTGTTATTGGATTCGATGATTGTTTGCACCGTGGCACTGACACATAAAACTTATTATTCTTTGAATGTCACTCCGATACGACCAATGATTGCAACGAGTGCAATAATAAATATTACTTTGGTTTAACACTTTTTTTTTATATGTCGTCTAATAATTATACATATTTTACATGCGATACATGCATGAAGAAAAAATAAAATGACAATATAATGAACAACAATTATTTTTATAAATAAAAAAAAAAATTATTAAAACGTGGGAGGATAGCAGAAAAAAAAAACATAAATGACATAATAACAGCGCTCGTTTCCATGTTCAATAATGGAGTGGCATTCAATTACCATGGAAAATTTGGTGTGGGCTGACGTCTATGTTAGAGTACAACATGTCCATCCACTGCTGCTGAGCTTGAGCTAGTTATCATACGCAAGTTGTATCGTCCAATGAAACAAAATCTTTATTGTATTTTTGTCCCGTTTCTAAGATTTTCTTGAACAAAAGTTCTAACAAAATGAAAGGAATTAATTGAATACAAATTTATTCAAAGTATTTGATAATATATATATATATATATATATAGGGTACATTTTGCGTATGTTAATCGCGATGGCGCAGGGCGTAATTTAGACTACTAAAAAGACAAAAATTGGGCGTTCTGCGATGGTGTCGAGCGGTTCGTTAACGAGCAGCCCTTTCACTACTACTACCACTACTACTACTATACTACTTATATACCACTATACTACTACTACTACTACTACTACTACTACTATACTACTATTACTAGTACTACTACTACTATTACTACTATCACCACTCTACTATCACGCGATGAAATAAGTTTTTCATTAACGATCGTCGAGCATGAGGCAAGGAGCGCCCAATTGATAATATATTACTACGCAATTATAAAGAACTTTTAATCATGTTTGATCTTTATTTATGGATATTTGCAGAAATTTGTGGTTTGCTGAATCTTGTCACGACTTTTTGAATGTGTGGAACTTGATATATATATATATATACATACATACATATATATCTATATATATATATATACATATATAAATATATATATATATATANTATATATATATATATATATATATATATATACATATATATATATATATATATATATATAAATATATATTTTCATTGTACCACTGTACTCATTGTATAAATTACACATTCACCGCCCGAACATGACTATTCGGTCAACTTGTGAAAGTTCAATTGAATTTGAATTATTCCTACCGGTTAAAATGCCTCACCTAATCGAATTTTGATTACTGGGCTTGTTTTAATATATATATCACTCTTTGAAACAAACCATTATCCTTCTTACCCTTGGCTTTATTTTAGCTCTGTTTTTTGTAATTTCTGTTTTTTCCGTAAAGTCAAACCTGAGATAGAACATCGTAAATGTGCGACATTATTAGCACTTGTGAATATATTTAGTTTATAGCTGAATATCCAAATTTAGTTTATTGCAAATTCGTTTCTTGTATTGTCCGTAAGGTACCGCTTAATTCAAGACTTTACGACAAGATTTATACAAATAAACTCGGTGAATATCACGATACACTTTGATTTATTTTTCTGATGTGCGATGATGATGAATAATATTTAATGTGCTAATGAGAATGACGAATGAAAAGATTATAATAGCTAGTTTATTCTTTTTTTTTTCTTTTTTTCTTTCTTTTAATTGAATGTTTTAAATTAATACTAACAATATAAGCAGTTTATGGGACTTCTCAGGTTTGGCTATTTTAGACGAATGTATTTGGCTTTTACCTTGATTGCGTAACGCTATTTGCTTTGAGATCGGTTTCGTATTATATCTTAGTTTTAGAAGTAAAGGTAGGTCAATTACACGAGTTTTCATTTGAGAATAGTTTATTCATTTAATTTTATGATTGACTTCCTAATGATTCTTTTTAACTATCAAGCATTGGTAATCGCTATTGTTGTATTTTAACTTTATTATCTTTTTCTTAGAAATAGAAGAAGAAATAAAATAAGAAACTAAATAAACAATCGGCAAAAATTCAAAAACATGATAATGTTTATGAATCATGTTCAGATGAGGTGAAGACTTTGATACTTAACTAAATTGGATCATTTCTAAATGGTGTTCAATAATGTTCTAGTATATTAGTGTGACAAGATATATATATATATATATATACCACAGATTGCTCCAGATTTTGAATTCCACCATTTGTCATGTATTTTGAATTAGGATATCAAAAGTCTAACTTGTTTAAGCTATTCTCAAGTGTGACTCGCTTTCAAAAACGTTACTGTCGATAATCCACTAACGTTGCATAATTTTCAATTGTCCAGTCTCTATCATTATTTATTGTGCGCGATTTCAATTATTAAAATAATCGCAATCAATTGATACAAATCAACGCATTGTGGATTTTCGATAGTTTCGTCAATGTTTTTATTCTAAAGCCCAATTTGTACCATCAAAGTTTATACGGGATCAATGAATTATCTTGTAAAGAATTTTTCTAGCGTTAATTATTAAATGATCGTTCAAAATATAAAAATAACAACAACAACAACAAAAAGAAACACGTTTACTCGATAAACTTACATGGTGACAAAATAGGGTGGCAATACCGTTCTTTCGGTTATTTCTTTTCACCATTATTTAGTGACTAACATTGTTTGAGCTTTGAATAGTACCTTGATAAAAATGGTGTATGTCATGTGTAAGATATACTTGGGTGTGGGAGTACCACTTATAGGATCCAAACGTTTTGGATTAACTCCTTGCAATCGTTTAACGTTTAAAACATCGATTAAGATAATAAATTAATGTCGATAGTATATTTGTCAAGATTAATTAATCACATTGTGTAATGTGTTTGATATGAGTAAGATGAAGGCGAGTTGTCCAAAACGATTAGATACTGACGACCCGAGTTACGTGTTCAGTAAGGAAATAAATATCTACAAATATTTCTAATAAAGCAAAAGAAAGAGAAAAAGAGAAAAAGATCAAGAGATGTTACAAATACGTGATCCATACTTTGAAAAAGAAGCCATATTGAGCAGTAAAACGGGTCGTCGTTTGTCCTTTTTGATAGTGGTACCGCGTACCATTGGCTTAGATCAGCCAGTATAAATCGGAAAAATGAACCTTCCTGCATTTTGTATCACATTATGTTACAGCGTATCCCGTGGCACCACATCCACCAACAGGTTTTGTTCCGGCCCCAGCTCAACCTGCTACTTATGGTGGTATGCATAAGGAACAATTTAATGTTTTATTAATGTTCCAAAAATGAAATGAAGTTTTGAATTTCTAAACAAATATAACTAATTCAAGTTTATTATCATAAACAATATTCGCGAAATAGTTGCAGGTGCAGCACCATATGGAGTATTTCCAAATCAGCCTCAATTATATGCAGCACAAGGACCACCGCAGCCAACATATGATCAGACTCTCACACATCCCATGGTAAGATTATTCATTTTCCTACTTAAATTATCTATTATAATGAATTCTAACCAAAATAACATTATTTTGAAGATGTATCAACCAATGTATGGCCAAGGTTATCCTGGTGGATATTTAGCAGGTTATCCTACTGCATATGGTCCATTGCAATACTATCCACCATTAGCTGCGGCTGCAGCATATTATCCAGCAGCTGCAATGCAACCTGCACCAGTTAGGCCCACGATTATGGTACCTGTAAGTTAAACTTAATACTTTTTGGTTCTGATAACTTTGTAAAATAGAAGAATATTATATATATATATATATATATATATATATATATATATATATATATATATATATGATTTGTAATTAACTATTATATTTCCTTCAAAGAATGGATTTGATGGCACTCGATTCGATGGTATCTCACAGCCCGTTTTACCACCACCACCACCAGGCGTTGCTGCGAATGCTGCACAATTAGCTGCAATGGCTGGTCATAGTGTGGCCTTGTCGCAAAAGAAAGGCTCGTTCCTAGGAGGAGGAACGGAGGGCGGTTACACCTTTTGGTAAACCTCTATAACTTTTGTGAAACACTAAGTCTATCGAAGACATAATTGTCAAGATGATCCATGTAGGCAAATCTGATTTGTGTTAGAGCTCTAAACTATTTTCTCATTGGGAGCAGCTATGAACTTAGTATACTAATTACACGGACCGATTGTATGCAATAATTTAACGCGAGTAGAGAAAAATACTTTAACGAGAAGCAAATTAAACATCCATTAATTATTAATATACAAATTGCGTATTGTTGTGATTGTGATCTCAGAGTAATCGTCAACGATCGATCCGTGTACTGTATAAAAATTACAGTAAAATTAATTAAATACTATATAAAAGGGAAAACTCGTGCGAAATTCGACACAGATAATAAGAGAGACAGACAAATCACTATGAGATTTTTAATATTTAATATTTAATATTTAATATTAAAAATCGATGAAAAAAAATTAAACTCTGATATATTTTACAAAATATTTCTACATTATTACTTTGATTTGCTATTCAAAATGACCTAAACTTATATAATTATTAATACTAAATAATCAATGAAACGATGCGTCGTTGAAAAATTTGACATGAAAAACGATCGAGCAAAATATTATGACATTTTACTTTGAAATCTTATCTCATAAAGAGAATATTAAAAAAAAAAAAAACAAAAACAAAAAAAAAGAAGAAGACGCACATGTTAAACTATGTGAAACACGCTTTAAAAAAAATTAACAAATAATATATGAAAATATCTTTTGATTCTCTTCATTTGCTCGATCGCATCTAAAATAATATAATAATACATTTGCTCTGGCGCACGAGATATTTCCAAATGTTTATTTCTATTTTTTCCTTTTTTATTTTTTATTTAAATAAGAAAGTGAATCGCGTAAAAGGAGAGAAAGAGAAAGAGAAAAAGAAAGAAAAAGAAAGAGAGAGAGAGAGAGAATAGGAAACTCGGTGTTCTTCTTTTTAGAATTATTGAATGAATACGTACGTGCACACAGCGGATGCGAGTTGTCTCATTCGCCTACAGGGATCGATATTCAAAGTGTGTTCGAAGCCTTTTTTAAACGCGACTTGATTTCCTGCAAGAATTGCAGGAGAGCAAAACGATCGACGAGGGCTAAACAACTAATCGTATGTTGATTTCCGTTAATTTTCACGACCGGTTTTGCGATTTCATTCTTACTGGAGTTTTATCCACGAAAAGAACGACAGGGAGATCTCTCAATCATATTTTTTTTTTGTTTTTTTTTTTTTTTGCAAAGTAAACTCGTCGGTACTTTGCGAAAACTTGTTGTGAGTGGCCCTGATGTGTTTAGAGGAAAATACCTAAGTGATATATAAGAGCGTAATTAAAACGGAATGCGTGAGAATCGTTCGTGATTGTAACATCGGTGTACTACTAGTAACTACTACTACTACTACTACTACTATTACTATTATGATACTGAAAGTCTTTTTTTTTTCATATACTTTAACTTTTGTTTATTATTCTCCTTTTGTTTTTTTTTCTTTTTTTTTTACGAAGTACTATAATTATTCTTTTCGATTCTTTATCATTATGTCGCGTAAATTTAGTCTAATTGATTTTTGGAATGTGTTACGACGAACGTGTAAGCCCGAGGCTCGCTCGAGTGCCAAAAAAGAAAACAAACGATAATGAAACAAGCGATAGGAGATTCTCGCGTATTCGACGACGACTCTACAAACATAGGATGATACTTACTTACTACTCTACGTAAAATTACGCACTCTACTATTCTTGACAAATTCAATAGGAAGAAGTACCTTTCCTGTAGTTGTTGCTTTTTTATTTTTATTTTCTTCTCTCATATTTCTTTATTATTATTTTTTTTCTTTTCTTTTTTAAACTTATTATTTAAATGAAAAAAAAGAAAAACCCGAAAGTCTTGTCCGCGGCGCTCGGATTTATTCGTACTGGCCAAAAAAGCTTTTGTTGAAAGAGTTACCATGAAAAAAAGATAAATAATATATATATATGTATAAATATATGAGGAGAGATAATTCAAATCATTCTCAACACTTGAAAAACATTTGTCTTCTTCAATCAGAACAAAGAGAGAGAGTAGTAATAAAAAAAAAAAAAAAAAAAGGAGTATAATAAGAAATAAGGAAAGATAAATATGTAATTTATTGTCGACAATCTTACTGTCTATTTCTTTCTTTTTCTATAAATAATATAAACACACATAGGAGAATGTAAACATACATACACACAGGACAGACAGACAGACAGACAGACAGACAGACAGACAGACACGTAACAAATAGCATGGCAACTGCTTTTAACGAAAGCTCTTCGCGAAGTTGTGTAACAGATATTAGTTGTCTCAGCATTTCAAAGTACAAATCAAACGCGGCGCGTGGATTGTACAGGACG